AAAGTCATATCTGGCGTGTTGTCGCAAATGAAATGTCCAATTATGTAAAATTATTTGACTTTAGGGTTAAATACTAATTTAAAATTTTACTTTAACTTCAGTGACCACTTGTGAAATTAACAAATATTAATGTCGGTTGCAGCATTGCCCTGGCTAGGTCAGTAATTTACTAAATTGCCATCGTATTGCTGGTGCTGCTTAGGTCACAAAATGGCTACAATCCAAAGCATTTTTGCCTATATAGGGAAAGAATTATTTTTCCAGATTATTTGAAAAATGTTTTGTGTCTCCATCTTATTTTGGGAATAAATCTAATAAATTGTTTAGTGTTTTGTTCCATATCAATGTCTTTGACCATATGTATTTAAATTTTTTGTTCGTGGCACAAAGATAAGGTTAAATGTATTATACAGTATTCGTTGATTAATTAAAAAATTAAAATAATTTCTCGTCTAAAATATAATAATATTATTGTGATATAGCATTTCCTCATAGACCAATATAAATGGCTTGTTTTCAATTTACGTATGCCTGTTTAATTTTTCAATATTTGAAAAATAATAATTATTCACTGTTCATGACAAGAAAAATTATTGAGCACAAAAACATATCATAATATATTCGATGAGCCTAATACGTAATTTTGAAGCCATAATAGACTGCTACTAGTTCCATCGTCTATGCTTGGGTAAAAAAGGAATTTACAACTAGTAGTCATATTTGAAGTGGGTTTTGACAAGAATCGAACAAGGGGAAGACGAAAGAATTGACTCTTATAAAAAAATTTCGCCTCCTTCTTAAGTTTCATTTTATTACTATTTGCTCACACAAAATTATATAATATTTACATTTAGTGAGTGCTTGTCTGTTCAAAGATAAAATGTTATCGATTGTTCACTTACAATTATACAATATTATCCGTCTATCATTCATCTCAATTTTTATTTTTATATTATTCAAATTGTTTATATGATTTTCACTATTTTTGCAAGCCGTTCAATCTGTTTTCCTCCTTTTTTTCCTTCTAGAAAATCTATTTTAAAATTTTTATTGTTTGTCTGTTTATATAATTTTCATGAGTTTTATTCCATCAACTAATAATTATATTTTGGAAATTAATTTTTTATTTATATGATTTTTATTTTTTCTGATTTTTTATTTTTTATTTATTCATTCTCATTAATCATTTCATCTAGGAATTTGTTTGATTTTCTATTTATGAATTCGTCTTAATGTTTTCTTCTACATTTTTTTTTTAATTTGTTTTCCTACTTTTATGATAAAATAATTTTTTTACTTTCTTGTTGATAAGATGGAGAATCAGAGAGTGGAGTCAAAGCCATCTCAAGTCTTATCTCTATGATTTATGAAGATGTCCAAAATCACGTAAATGATATAAACACATCAAACTATAAAATCTGAAATAAATTTTGTAGAAGTAAAAAATGAGGAAAATAGAATAAACAAAGCAATTTGCAAAAATCAATCTACAAATCATGAAAATAATGTAACAAATTGAATGGTACAAAAACAAAATTGAGCTGGATGGTGGATGGGTAACATTGTGTAAATGTGAATGAGCAACCAGTAATCTTTTATTTTTTTTAATGACAGTAACCAAAGATAAAAGGTTAGTGATTACTCATTTAATTAACTTTCAAATTTTACCATTAATAGCCAAGTAGGATTTTCATCTATCACGTAAGATTTTTTTTCCACGTGAACGAATGTATTTTAGATAGATGATGAATGGATAATGTTATGTAAAAGTGAGTGAGCAATCAATAACCTTTATTTTTAAATGAGCAAGTAGTTATCAAAGGTAAATATTGATGATTAATCATTTAATTAATTCTCGAAGTTATCAATACATAGCAAATCTGCCCACCATGATACCTTCCCCATTCAAAAACTCCTCCAAATGTGAGCAGTAGTTTTGCTTGAAAATCTAGAAGAAAAAATGCATTCTTTCTACAAGATTTGGACTGTGAATGGTAGCAATTTTGCTTAAAGATTGATTTTGTTAAATACCCTAAATTTCCCATGGTCCCAAAACTCCCCCAATGAACGCCAGTTGCCCCCACCATCGTCTTCTTCCTCCTCTTCTTCAATTACTACTTCTATGCCAACACCAACCACAGCTACTACCAAACCAAAAAGAGGAACTTGTCGTGCCGTGGCGAGTTCGTGGTGGTGCGGTTTCTCCTTATATGGCAATGGTTTTTTCGGAAGCCGTCAACAACTACAAATCTATTGTTAACTGCGACAGACTGCTGGATATATATTTGATTTTGAATATTTTTAGGTGGTGGATTTGAGATGAATGTTGTGGTGGACTTGAGTTCCATATGAAGCCAATGGTCATGGATGAGGTGCAATGGGCGATGGTATGATGGGAGGTGAAGGTGGTGTTGATGGTTGTGTGATGGACTTGATGTGTAGGTGAAGCTGGTGATTGTGGATACAGTAAAGCTATACATACAATGTCCCCTGACAATTTGGGTTTACAACCTGGTTGTTTGGGTATTTATTTCTCATATTGGACCTTTCTTCTAATTCCCAGATTTTTGTTGGTGGCCATTTTCCCCCACTTTTTTGGGGCCGGTTTTAGCTTGGACGTGTTGGGCCTTTTTATCTCCTATTGGGTTTATATTTTGGGCTATTTTTCTCTTCCTTTTGGGTATTTCTCCTGCACGTGTTTCTCTTCCCAACAGCCCCAGTTTTCTGATCTGCATGGGGAAGGAAAAAGGGGAAAAATTCATATTTAAGGTGTATACTTAACACCATTTCACAATTGAGATATAAAAAGTATATATTCAAATCTCAGATATATATATGTACATACATATACATATATATATGTACATATATATGTACATACATGTACATGTATATATGTGTATATACATATATGTATATGTATATACATATACATATATGTATATACACATATATACATGTACATGTATGTACATATATATGTACATATATATATGTATATGTATGTACATATATATATCTGAGATTTGAATATATACTTTTTATATCTCAATTGTGAAATGGTGTTAAGTATACACCTTAAATATGAATTTTTCCCCTTTTTCCTTCCCCATGCAGATCAGAAAACTGGGGCTGTTGGGAAGAGAAACACGTGCAGGAGAAATACCCAAAAGGAAGAGAAAAATAGCCCAAAATATAAACCCAATAGGAGATAAAAAGCGCCATTCAAATGTGAAATGATTGATGTCATCGACATTGATATTTTTGTGTCACAGATTTGGAATCGGTTCGAAGAAATTGACATTTTCGCATAACAGAAATCAATCCAGGTATTGGTTCGATTATTACACTGCTAGTTTTTCGCATTTAGCATCATCAGATAAGATCCGAATTTCTTATGTACGCAAATTTCCAGCGTCCGTATCTATTGTGGCCACATATGTCTCAAATTCAATAATATTGTACAGTGGGACATGAACAACATGCATGATATGTGACTTAATTGAGTATAACCAGTCTTATACAAGTGTAGCATCGATTGTGGATGTCTATGACCACTAAAACAAATGTAGCAGATTGTAACAACATCAAACATAAGATGTGAACAGCGTATGTGACCTTTCTGATTTACACTAGAAGACGAAGAAATAGAGGATTCGTTGTGGTCGATTAAATGTGACCTCTGTGAAAAAAATGTGACCTCGATTTATTTTCGATTATCTGTAAGATATGTTATATTTGTACTGATCATACCCATGTGTGACCTATTCCGTTATTTGACCAAAATATGACCACTCGACACAACAGTATCCGTACGCATGTCACATATGTGAACATGTGAGCGAATTGGAGAAGAGAATGAAATCAATTTTGTTCATGAGATGTGACCTGTGTGTCGCCAAATGTGACTTGCATTTTTTAGTGTCATATGTGACTTCATGTTATTGCATAAATTCTTATATAAAATTGTATGCATAGTATTAAATTAACCATTGAGAATGTGAGGATTTGAAGTTCAATTTTGCAGAAATGGTGTACTTGCGCGTATATTTGTTGCATGGATCTCAGTCAGCGTTGACGTTGGTAGACCGTGGATGCAGTTATATAAACCTTGTAAACACGATTATGTCAGAGTTCAGCTTGGATCCGACCAAGGTAGCAGTATCATTGAAATATATACTCAACGACGATTTGCTTACAATCAGGATAAAAAATGACAGCAACATGCTTGCATACATTCTGCTGAAAGAAGTCGATCGTGATCCAGCTAAATACTCATTAATCATTGACATAATTGATGCAGCAATAGAGTACCCGTCTGACATGATCATAGATAATGCTTATCGTAACAGTGAACTTTATACGTTCCAGGATGTGGCCACAGAAATCTGTGAAGCATCAAGTAAACATGTAGGTCACATTTGTGACAATGATGTCATGATTGTTTCTATAGCAGATGCTATTGAGGTCGAAGAAGGAAGGATTTTTCGTGATAAGGATATTTTAAAATTGAGCCTATCCTTTTTTGCCATACGAAACATGTTTGAATTTATGGTTGAACGATCCGACAAGAAAGAATATGTGGTGAGGTGTTCTCAGGAAGGATGTACTTGGATATGTCAATCGTCAAAATGGGGTAAAACGAATCTATTTAAGATTCGAAAATTAGTAGTCACACATGTGCATCAAATGTGGTGTTGGGATCACACAAACAAGTATCAGCTGCATTTGTGTCATCTAGCATCAAGTACAAGTACACATCGGCTGGCACCATATACACACCAAAGGACATATGTAGTGATATGCTACATACTTTTGGAGTATATTTGAATTACTCAAAAACTTGGAGATCCCGTGAACAAACATTGAAGATGATTAACGGTGATCCGACGGAATCATTCGGTTAGATACTAAGCTTCTTCTACCTGGTTCGACAAAGAAATCCTGGTACGGTCACAGAGTTGGAGATCGATAGTGACAATAAGTTCAAGTACTGTTTTATGGCACTCGGTGCATCAATACGAGGGTGGCAACATTATAGGCCCATAATTGTCGTTAACGGTACTTATTTGAATGGTCATTACGGAGGTACCATATTCACAGCATGTACACAGGATGCAAATAATGGTATATTTGTTCTTGCTTTTGGAGTAGGTGATAATGAGAACGACAAATCTTGGAGATTGTTTTTGGAGAAACTGAAAAATGCATATGGGTACAGAGAAGGATTGTGTTTTGTATCGAACCGTCATGGCAGTATAAAGAAAGCAATAGAACAGGTGTATTCGGAAAGTTGCCATGGTATCTACTTGTACCATTTGCTACAAAATCTAAAATCATATTATGGGAAATCAGGGCAAAATATTACGTAGACTTTCAATTCGGCTGTTCGCTCTTACACATTAGAAGAATTTGAATACAACATGCAACAACTGGACGCAATGAATGATAAGATTCGTGATTACCTAGTACTGTACTAACTACAGCACTCCATTGTCACATGCAGTGAAGTGGTCACATATATCCTTTTATACTATTCTCATAATACGATATATTTTGACAGGATGAAGTAGGCCCTAAAAAGTGGTCACAAATACATATGCCGGCAAACAGACACTCTACAATGACATCAAACATTGTAGAATCAGTAAACGCGGTCACAAAGGTAGCTAAGAATTATCTCATTGTATTCTTGCTGGAGTCATTGCGATAAACAGTACAAAATTGGTTCTGTAAACATAGTGACGAAGCGCATGGAACTTTCACGATGTTGACTAGTTAGTTCGAGAATGTCATGAGGAGAATGAGTTCAGAATTAAGGAACTTGAGGGTAACTTTCTTATGTATCCTGAAGTTTGTACATGTGGACTAAACGGAAATATGCATGTGATTATATCATAGGTGTCTGTGACATGGAATATATGTATGTGATTATGTGTCCAAATATTAATTATATGTGACTAGTAATTTACGTATGTGACGCTATGTACTTTATTTGTGGTGCTATATAATTTGTATGCTAATGTTAAACTTGTGACCTGAGTATAAAGTCCTGTGACCTGAACATACCATTGTGCACTGAAATATGAATGTCTGTGACCTATTCTTTTTTGAGTTTAAACTGACACATACCGTTGGTGCTACTACACTCTCACAGGTATCTCCTTCGAACCAAACAATGTTCTCCGTGAGCGATGAAAGGTCCACATTTGTTGTTGACATTGAGCAACGTACATGCATTTGCAGGATGCTGCAGGTCGATCTGATGCCTTGTCCACATGCATTGGCTGTAATCGTACTTACGAAAAGGGATGTATATTCTTACTGTTCTTATTATTACACAAATGATGCATATGTAAATGCTTACGAAAGTTCGGTATATCCTGTTGGAAATCCAGACGAATGGAGAGTGCCCGATGAAGTAGAATTTCAAATTGTTTTAGCTCCTAACTAGAAGCGAAGTTCTGGAATACCTACTGAGAAGAGGAAGAGATCATCTAGGGAAGGGAAACCAAAAGTAAGATGTGGACGTTGTGGTGCACACAGTCACAACCGCAAGAGATGCTCAAGTTTGGTCCCATTAAGTAAGAACGGTTGATAGGAAGTCAATACATGATGAGGACTTATCAAAGTTAGGTCGCATTCTTGAATTCTTATTAGCATACCGACATGTAGAAATGTGTTTCAATTGATCAATTGACAAATGATATTTAAATAGTAAGGTAGTAAATGCTAAATGAAATACATCTGCA